TAAGAAGCTTAAAATGAATAATATGATTACTTTTGAAGATGAATATTATTTTGGTTCAACAGATACTGGGCGCATTGCCTCGAACTACTATATTAAACATACAAGCATCGAGACTTTCAACAAGCTGTTTAAAGAAAGGATGACAGAAGCTGATATTTTCTCGATGATCAGCGAAAGTAGTGAGTTTGCAGACCTCAAATCTAGGGAAGAGGAGAGTGAAGAACTATCAGCTTTGAAAAATAACTATTGCGTATGTAAAATGAAGGTAAGGTTTGCATGTGATAAAAAGTGAACCCAACTTGTTCAACTTAACTTTTTTGATAAATTTATTTTTCTGTTTCGTCCTTGTAAATTCAGCAAACGATAGATACGGCACCGGGCAAAGTAAACATCCTGCTACAATCTTACCTTTCGAAGGCCAGGATCGAGGATTTCGCTTTAATATCGGATTCAGCCTATGTCGCACAGAATGCTAGTCGAATTGCTCGAGCTTTATTCGAGATTGCTCTTAATCGTAACCGGAGTCACGTGACGCCATTTTTGTTGAATATCTGTAAATGCATTGATAAGCAAATGTGGATGTTTGAAACACCGTTGGCTCAATTCGGTTTGCCTGCTGATATTAAGATGAAAATCGAGTCACTCTCGGACAGCATAAAAAAAATAGAAAGGATGAGGGACATGCGACCAACCGAACTAGGAAGGCTGGTCCATAACAATCATTATGGTCCACTCATATTTAAAATCTTGAAACAATTCCCGTCGCTCAAGTTGGACGCCCGTATCCACCCAATTACTCGAAATATTCTGCGTGTCTCACTTGACATAACACCGGAATTTGTTTGGAATGATCGTATTCATGGCACGGTGGAACCTTGGTGGATATTTGTTGAGGATCTCGAAAGCGTGGAATATTACCACACCGAGTATTTCCTATTGAGCAAGAATCGACATGATGAAACTCAAAAGCTTGGCTTCACCATTGCTATTCAAGAATTGCCCTCGCAGATTTTTATCAGGGTCGTGTCTGATAGATGGATCGGCGTCGAAGCCGTATTCTCGGCATCCCTGAGTGATATAGTCCTACCGGAATATCATCAGAAGCACACGGATTTGTTGAATCTGCCACCCATTCCTGTAACGGAGCTCAAAAACAAGGTTCTTGAAGAGATATGTGCCAAGCGGTTTTCTCATTTTAATCCAGTGCAGACGCAGGTCTTTGGTACTCTGTACAATTCACCGGGTAATGTTCTTGTTGGTGCACCTACAGGTTCGGGCAAGACCGTTATCGCCGAACTTTCCATGTGGTAGGTCTCAAAATTTTCGGTTAGCAGCGTTCGCGGTTTCTTACGAATATCTCCTCTTTCCTATAAGGTGGGCCTTTCGCGAATATCCCGAGTCCAAGGTTGTGTACATAGCACCATTAAAAGCGCTCGTAAAGGAACGTGTCGATGACTGGAATGCGAGAATAACTGGACCCATGCGAAGGCGACTTGTGGAGTTAACCGGAGATGTGACTCCTGATCTGAGATCAATCGAGAATGCTGATATAATCATCACCACTCCCGAAAAATGGGATGGCATTAGTCGTAGTTGGCAGCACAGACGCTATGTTCAAGCCGTTTCCCTCGTAATAATAGACGAGATTCATTTGCTCGGCGGAGATCGTGGTCCCACCTTGGAGGTCATTGTTTCACGAATGAACTATATCGGATCACAGAACGACACGAAGATTCGCATCATAGGACTATCAACGGCCCTTGCAAATGCGCATGACTTGGCTGATTGGTTGAACATCGACAAAGACGGCCTTTTTAATTTCAGCCATTCTGTCCGTCCCGTTCCTCTTGAAATTCATTTCGAAGGGTTTTCCGGAAGACACTATTGTCCTCGCATGGCAACCATGAATAAGCCCATTTTTGCAGCGATTATGAGGCATTCACATTCGAAACCTGTAATTGTGTTCGTCTCTTCCCGTCGTCAGACACGTTTGACCGCACAAGATTTGATCACACTATGTTGCATGAATGACAATCCTTATCAATTCTTGAAGATGCCTGAAGCGGAATTGCAAATGGTTCTCACCCAAATAAATGATAACAACATGAAGATGTCACTTGCTTTTGGCATCGGTTTGCATCATGCCGGACTGACCGAAGGTGATAGAAAGATCGTAGAAGAACTCTTTCTGCATCAAAAGATTCAAGTCCTCATTGCGACCAGTACCTTGGCGTGGGGAATCAATTTGCCGGCTCACCTTGTCGTGATCAAGGGCACCGAGTTTTACGATGCAAAGTCCAGAGGATATGTCGACTTTCCTATAACTGATGTACTTCAAATGATGGGAAGAGCAGGTACGCGATTTACCGTATGTCTATTTCTAGTGACACGCACACAGCTCATCGTCAAACTCCTGTGATAATCATAGGCCGTCCTCAGTTTGACAACAGCGGTGTCGCGTGCATTTTACTCCAAAATTCGAAAAAGGACTTCTACAAGAAATTCCTATACGAGCCGTTCCCAGTGGAATCCAGTTTACACATGCAACTCGTGAATCATTTGAACGCTGAAATTACTTCGGAAACTATAAAGTCAAGACAAGATGCAATGAAATATCTCGGTTGCACATACCTTTATCGAAGATTGCAGAAGAACCCATTTTACTATGATTTAGAAGACAACTCAGAAAAGACCATAGAAAATTATTTATCCAAATTGATCGAAAAGTCTATCGAAGAGCTTCGCATGTCAGGGTGCATTGACATAGATGATGATGGCAACCTGAAGTCAACCCCCCTTGGCAAGATTGCGTCCTCCTATTACCTTTCGCACAAAACCATTCGACTCTTCCGCGACCGCATGCAGGCCAAAGCATCCATCCGGGATCTTTTGGGCATGCTCTGCAATTCTGAAGAATACTCTGAAATCCCCGTACGTCACAACGAAGATTTACTGAATCAAGACCTAGAGAAGGATCTTCCCTGGGCTGTCCAAGGCGACCTTCCATACGACAGTCCACATGCCAAAACCTTTTTGTTACTTCAAGCCCATGTCGCACGCGTCAAACTGCCCATTGCCGATTACGTGACCGATACCTTTTCAGTGTTGGATCAAGCGATTCGTATCTTGCAGGTGAGAAATGTGAAATTGCCATTACCTCATTCAGGCGATCGAAATGGAAAAATAAATGTGTATCATTGCTTTGCCGTACCATGTCGATCACTTTAGGCCATGATTGATGTCTCCCATGAACGAAAAACTCTGACAAATTGCCTGAGGATATTTTCTTTGCTTCAATGTATCAAACAAGCGCGGTGGCCCGACGATTCATCATTAACGACTCTTCCTGGAATCGAACGTTCCATGATCAACTCATTATTACTTAAAAATGTATGACGTCTCCGTTTATTCATCTTTTCGAACATAATTGTGCACCTCGACACACAGGATCTATATTAACCCCGGTGTCATTAGGGTCTTGCGGTCACGTGTATTGGTGAACTATTAGACCTGCCTGAAGAAGAGCTTGTCAACATCTTCAAGAATGTTGTCGGTGGTCTCTCCGAGTCTGACATTCGACAGGTATGAGATTTTTTTTTTCTAAAACCGCATTGCACGGAGGATGCAAGGAAGCACGCGTGTAGCCTCTATCAAGAATATGCTGACGGATCGTTACGTTTAAATATAGGTCTGCAAAGTAGTCTTGAACATTCCGTCGATAGATGTCACTTGCTCTATCGACACATCCGATGATCCATTGATTCCAAAAAAGGAATACCCGGTTACAGTTTCTTTGAATCGAAAAAATCGGTCGTCGAATCACGATGGACGAATTCATGCGCCACGATTCCCAAAGGTCCAGTTCGAGTCATGGTGGATTTTGATGGGAGAAACCACCACCGACACGATAATTGACTTGAAAAGAATTAACATGCGCAATGGGCCCTCGGGAGGAATTGCCGAAAACAGTAAAAACAGGTTTAAATTCGTTGCGCCGGAGAAGGAGGGCAATTATAAATATACAGTGTTCTTTGTTAGTGACGGATATCTGGGGATTGATCAACAGTATGACATAAACTTTACTGTGAGGTCAGTTAAAGAAACGATTCAGGAATAATTAATTCAATATTTAGTATATGGTGCATACAAATATACAGTAGATTGTAATAATAGATCACCGTTAATAAATTAATTCATAAATTATTATTATCCAATCACACTGATTTACAATTTTCCTTTTCTGTATGGCACATAATATAAACGATAATCGCATCTATCGCATTTCACGGTAACATGATAGTTTTTTTTTTGCTACCGATATGAACTTGACAACCAAACTACGTTCCCAGATGTCATTGTGCCCTACAATAACGCGAAGTCGCTTCAATTTTCAAACATTCATACTATCACCCCAGTTTCAACGTCGGTACGCCTCTAAGCCCCCAAGGCCGTTGTTACTCTGCTCACGTCCCGAACTGTTTACACAACAAATTGTTCTATCGAATGGTGCCACATACACAATCCGTACGACCTCTCCAAAATCATTAATCAAATTAATTAGAGACACTCGGAACCACCCGCTTTGGAATCCCACTACAGCAGACGGTGCATTGGATGATGAGAGCGGTCAGCTATCTAAATTTACGAAAAGATTCGGAGATGAGGTATATGACATAGACTTTATGTCGACCGAAGAATCACCTGAAATCACGAGCAAAGAGCTCGCCGCGAAATCGAAACGAAAAAAGAAATGAATAACAAGCGATCGAGCGAGTGAGAAGTTTTTCTTTCGAGATGAAAATTTTGTGGGTGCGTGACATTGAGCTCATCGATCGAAAGTCAAGTCATGCTTGCGATTGTATATTAAAAATAAATAAAATATCGAACAATTGATGCAATTCAATGGGGAATCTTGCCTTTGAATTAGTATGGATTGATTGTGATCTGTATTTTTCGAAGAAGTCATGTGTGACGTGATGCCTCAAAATTCCGCTACGCAATCGAAGAATCTACAAACCTCATAGTGTGAAACGGCGAATTACAAAGAAAGAGAGAGAGGATCAAGGTCCACTGAATGAAACAAGAACCTCGAAACAGATTTAGATCATTTGTTTCCCTAAACAAGAAGTCAAGATGATATAGATGATAGATTGGAGTCGGAAAAAACACAATTATTGTCTTTTTTATTCTTTCAATTACTTGCCAAATAAGGTTAGCCTAAACGGCGCTCTTAAAAAATATACAGTACAGCAGTAGTGTGCAGCGGAACGTTGCGAAAATAGAAAACATGATGTATCTCATTATTATTGGAGGTCACGTAACCGGCCGGGATCACTTCACAGGGAACTAACTACCTGTCCATGATGGTGCATATCCCTAGAATTGTAAGCCTAATCATCTTTATTCCTTCGACACCTTTCATGTTGCGTAACTAGACATACGAGTTCATGTTGATCATGAATGATTGCACGGAATTATTGCATGCGAATGCGTTGGATGCAACCCTAAAAATTACCGATCCCTTGGTTGGTTTAGGTAATGGTGTGTGCATTGTACCGATTTCTGGGTTACGTAATATCCTAGTACAAACAAAAACCTGTAAAGCCTTGTGAAAATCCAAATGTTCCAACATTGAAAATTCGAGCTCACAGTATCGATATTATTTGATTGAAGTGTAACAAACGAAGTCACTCATGAATGCGTACGTTTTAATCATCATTTGTACGAGTTTATGTTATTTTTTATGTCATCTAAATACCGACCATTACTTAATAAGCACGATCAAATTATATCAGCAAAAGAACACGACAATAATCCCATTTAATATGAACAAGGAGTGTTTATGATATATTACTTTTAAGGTGGATTATGTCATATCGCTTAAAGATGGAAATATTGTTTGGGCGGGCGTTTTACCATAGAAATGTAACGGTCTAATTATTGACTGAGTGAGTGCGAAGTCTATGAAGCAGAGAAGTCAGCAAATACCTTTCTGTCGTCACTGTGAAAAATTTTCTCATGATACTTATGCGTGCGTACAAAATTAACTGATACTGACCGGAAGTTCCAAATTAGTAGTCACCGAAACTTTAGCAGTTCGTACCACCCAATAGGTAGATCGAAAATGCTTTTGTAAATTTATTTAATTCACCCTTGGATTGGGTCGCAAACCGCCCTTAGGATTAGTCGGTTAGTGATCTGATATAAAGAGTCCGCCAATGAACACAGTAACATGTAATCTCCAACATCGTCTCAACTATTATTTATTTTTAACCAACTGAAAACCATACTAAAATTCATCGAACAACGCCCGTCGATAATTAGCCGTCGGTAATTTTCTTTCCTTGATAGCAAGTCATATTATCTCTATTCCCTTGAAAATGGGCAATCATCATTCGTTATTAAAACGTGCAAACAAAAAGAGAAACCGATTAAGATCAAGTTCGAGCGAATTAGGCGGCACTCAATCTTGCGCGTCAAGTTTCACAAGCAACAATTCATCAGGAACCTCAAGTAACTATTTCCTAAGAGATAGCGAAGATGAATTTGATCGATTGCAGAGGGTACATTTTTTCTCCAAGCATTTCTTCGACGGAAAAAACCTTTCGGCACCGTGCACAAAAGTTTTGGAAGATGGATGCATGGTGTTAGACATTGGGTACGTCATGTTTGCTAAAAAAAAAAAAATAATAATAATAAATTCAAAGTTCACGATAAGGGATCCCAATTCATTCCTAAATTGGTATCCTCGCTTGTTCTCACCCTCCCAGTTGCGGCTCAGGTGCATGGGCATTGGACTGCGCCACCGAATTCCAAAAATCGACATTTGTCGGCGTTGATATATCACCAATGTTTCCAATGACGATTAAACCATACAATACAATGTTCATTCAGGTCAATGCACTTGAAGGGCTACCGTTCGAATCGAATACATTTGAAATAGTGCATTTGGGAAATATGGGATTTTGCTTCACCGAAGAACAATGGACGCAAATAGTGGTACGTTGTAATCGTCCGCGGCTGATGAATCAAACGGATCGAATGAATTTCTTGATCTTGGCGCTAATGATTTTAGAACCATTTTCAACAACAGATACCCGAGGTGATACGTGTTATAAAACCTGACGGGTGGATTGAAGTCTGCGAGTTATCACTTAGGATGCAAGATACCGGTCCGTGCATGACGCAAATACTTGCCGCTACCAGAAGTTATTTGGATGAGCTGAAAATTAATATCGATTTTATTGAACGCATGAAGGACTGGTTGGTAAGTGATCGATCAATCAACGCGATAAGTGATAAATCATTTAAAAAAAACAAAGACAATCGACTTAATTACGCTTGTGATAAATAGACTGAAAACGTGAGAACGGTCACCGATGTCCAAGAAATAATTGTTAGTCGATCTGTAGGAGGTAGTAAATTGGGCGACATATATGCAGAGAATTCGACACCAGCAATGAAAAACATTTCACCGCACGTTTCTAGAATAATGAACATCACCGAAGATGAGTATGATAAGATGGTGGAAGAGTTTCAGAAGGAGATTAAAGTTCATAAACATACACTTTTCTATTATAGAATTTTTGCAAGAAAGTTAAAATAAATGAATAATCAAATTATACATTCATTCACCTTGTCAATACTATAGTTTTAATAATAATAACAACAATAAAATTTTTAATTTCAACGTCAGTGGTATTCGACGAGAACTGGTGTAACTCTTAAGAATGCGGACCGAAAATTTCTCCGCGTTTGGTGAATAACCAAATATGGAAATTAATAAATTTCTTCTATACGTCACGCGACGTTTCACTACAGATCATCAAATATTATGGACATTATCAATATATTAAATTTATGTATTTATGCAAATTAATTTAGCGAAAATTCTTTTTCTTTTTTGCCCTTTAACCGTATAACAGCTAATTAGAATCACCATCCTGATTAGCATATACAATACATATTTCTATACGCTGTCAAGCAAATTAGCCTGATAACATTTCTGTTCATTATGGTATATCTACTTAATATACTGTAACATATCAATCATATTGAATAAATGATATATTCGACATATTCAGAAAATCCATTATAATTAAATGCGTATTTACTGTGTATGAAAATAATGGTTTTTGATAATAATTTTGAGGATTTTTGATAAACAAATATTAAGCAATAAATCCTCTTGTCTTTTCTTTTTTTTTTTTTTAAATCAAAATACAGTATTTTCTCGTCATTAACATCTATTTGATTTAAGAATCGTAAATTCAATTGATACTATTGCATAATTTGAAATTTTATTTAATATAATAATATATATAATAATATACATAAAAAGAACAAGGATATTATTATTATTATTTTAAATATGCTATTTAATATCTTTATTTTAAACATGTTTTTAATATCCTTTTTTATTATTATTTAAAACTATTGTTTATAATTAACATTTTTTAAAAAATTATTTATCATTATTATTCATGATTATTTTTTTTAAAATAAGTATCAATATAGTTTAAATTACTGGAATCAATATTTTTACTTTGGTTTT